GGAAGGGTTTATCCCAGCGACACATCAGCATCAGAAAATCCACCAGTGTAATTCACTACGGTATTAGATCAAAGGGAAAAAAAGTCCAATGGTTATGCCGATTGATGCAGAAAATGCTTTTGCTAAGATCTTTAGGTATTTAGGATTTTAAAAAATGCCGAGTAAACTAGGAACAGAAGAGAAATTCCTTCATGTGGTCAAGATTTTAATATTAAAAACCCACAGAAAATATTTCCAGTGGAGAAACTTTATGTCAGGGTCAGGAACAAGGAGAGAACACTCATCACTGCTGCTATTGCTTAACACCCAGTGTCCAGAGCCAGGAAATCAGTGAGCAAAGAGCTGAGACTGTAGGTGGCGTGATCATCTACCCTGACAAGCTAACCAACCACTCTGACCAAGTTCTAGAACAAATAAGAGAGCTCTGCAAGGTTGGCAGCTATGTGATCACCAAATATATCGGCAATAATCAACCAGAAAAACTCAAAATAATGGTGCCTTAAACAAGAGAGTCCACAAACACACACACATTTTTATATTGCAGAGAATAAGATGTTAAAATATTATAATTCTATTCTTACCATGTTCTTCTCTATATACTATATAGACTGAATTTTTTTAATCATACAAATGAAATCTACAGCAGAGTCCTGGGTACACGTGGCAGCCCCCTGTTATGTCAGCGATCCAGGCTCCTCCTTTATTCCTTCTCCTCCAGATATCAGGTCCATTTTTGGGGGACTTTCGTGGTCCCAGATGGCCATAAGCTTCCCCATCACATCTGCATTACTGAAGGGAAGCCTGAGGAAGTAAGGAGCAGGGGTTGGGGCACAGAGGGATGCCCTTCCTTGCAGGGAAGCTTCCCAGAATTTGCACTGCCATGTTTTATTGCTGGAGCCCAGTCACACAGCCGTGCCTAGCTGCAAAGCTGGGCGCACTATTACTCCAGACAGAGCCAAGGGTCAGTCCCAGAGAAATGATGTGGCTCATGCGCTCATCAGGCTCTGCCACAGACCCCAACTTCCAAATGAGGAAACTGACACCATGAGCGCAAGGAGCCTCAGGAGCTCCATCCTGCTCACTCCTAGCCCCATCCAGGCCGGAGGCTGCGCAGGATTTCTGTCCCCACTAGCTAATGTAACGCTCGTGTGTTTCCCAATGTCTATGATCTTACTCACCGCACTCTCTGATGCACTGGTTCCGCCTGGCACAGGCAGCACAGAACTTGAAAGCAGACAGGGAGATGACACACTGCGACTTCATACTTTCAATGCAGATATTAGCATTTAATGTTTAATATTGTTCCCGGCTCCCATATGCTGTGCTCTGCTCTAGACGTGCTTCCCGAGTTCGTGCGCCAGATGCATATCCTAAATCCTCAATGTCAGACCTGGTCCACGTCTGAAAGAACATGGAAACCACCTCAAAACCACCAGAAATACAGAGAAACTGAGAGCCAGAGAAACAAAAGTCTGTGTCCCAGATCCTGAGATACGTGTGACAAAGAACGTGACACGTGTCCCTCTCTCTGGCTCCTCCTTATGGGTAGACACAGAATGATCGCATTTCCCAGGTTTCCTTGCAGGTAAGCTGGGGCCATGTGACTGGCTCTGGCTAATAAGATGGGGGCAGCAGCAAGACCACCCCTTCTGGTCCCAGGTAGAGCAGGGCTGGTGTGTTTTCTCCACCCCTCTTCTGCTCGGTCACCTGGGAGGCCACTGGTCTAGAATGTGCTTCACAAATGAACATGCATACAATTCAAAATCACCTAGCAGTCTCTTTACACCCTAGTCCCAAGGTCACCGGGTCAGTGGGGGAGTCAGGATTTGAACCCAGGACCTTTTGATTTAATGAGCCCTGGCACCAATGAGCTGTGCTTATTTAGGGGCCTTCTCTGGGAGGCTGCAGCAGCAGCCAAAAGCCTCATGGGTTCCCTGGACTGCCACATCTCTCTGGTGCCCAGCTGGGCAGTTTGGGGGCCTGAGGGGCATGAAATCAGTCAGCATAATCTTTTAACACCTGTGACTGGAGAGCCCTGGCTCAAACTTTCCTCACCACCCAGGTTGCTGCCCTCAGGCATTCTGTGCCAGGCAGGCCCAGGGCCTCCCGCTGTCCACGCTCCCCATCCTCTCTTATCAGACAGAACAAGTCCAAGCAACACTTGCTCCCATCTCGTGTGGGCCTCCGAGCCCACAGCCCGCCTTACCTCCTCTGGCTGAACCGTCTCTCATCTCCTCCTTTGGCCTCCTCTACTGTCTTCCCTCCTGCATCAAAGAAAGAAGTGGTTCAAACAGTTCCTCCCCGGAGAAACTAATTAATGTTGACAGAGGTCAGAATAGGGAGCACCTGGGGGGCAGAGGGTATGATCTGAGAAGGGGCCTGAGGAATCTTCTGGAAATGTATCTTGGTCCGGGTGGTGGTTGTGTGGGTGTATACCTGTGTGAGAGGCATGGAGTGGTATACAGTGCAAATGCCCTTAAGCACTTCTCTATGTTACCCCACATTTTGAACGCCATATGCTAGAGAGTTCTCTGAGCAGTAATAAAATAAACAACAACAACATAAACCACTACATGGCTTTTGGGGTCTTAGGAGCTTGTGCTGGAAAAGGCCATTTCCTGGCTGTGTGACAATAAGCAAGTGAATGGAGCTCTCTGAACATGCCCTTTCTTATTGAGGTGAGGATGGGGAGGATCAGAAACACCACTTTTTATGAAAAGTGTTTAGCTCAGAATTGATTTCAACAGAGTACTTAATACACAGTCACGTCCATTGTCATTAAAATCAGTGAGCTTGGCAGGAAAGAAAGCTGGAGTTCTCTGTCCTGGGTGCAGGTAGTTAAGAGGAGCACCTTGTAGGGAGTTTAAAACAAAATCAAGTCCTTGAGAAGTCAGTCAGCCTCCTGTCATCACCGGGCGCTGGCAAATCTAAATAACGTCAGTCATAAAATACCCCCTCCTGAAAACGTCTTTTATTGGTCTACGTTCTAAACAATTGTGGTAACTGTTGAATTTTTAAAATGGAGATGTCAGCTTTGAATTAGCACATCTTCATTTTGCAATAAACACTGCAGGGACATTAATTTAGATGTTTCTAGAAATGCAGTTGTCTCCATACGTTCTCAGGGACACACCTTCCTGGAGAAATTCCTAACAGTTTGGAGTCTCTCCTGCTTGCTCCTGTGGGGGGTCCTGTCTCCAGCCTGTGCTGTCACATATTGGTGCATCTAAACAACAGGTTCCAAGGACAGTGAGTGTAGAATGGAGACAAATTCATGCTGGGGTTTTGATGATAATGACTTGGAGTTTGGGTTTGGGTTTAAAGTTTACAACAGGGTAATGTTTTTTTTTTTTGAGGAATACTTTTTTTTTTTTTTTTTTAAGATTTATTTATTTATACAAGCACTGGGTACAGTCAGAGGTGCAGGAGGGTGAGAGAATTCACCAGAGCCAGAGCGGGGAGCAGAACAGGCAGAAGGACCGAAGTACACTGCTGAGGGGAGCAGCGGGCGCCAGGAGAGGTCTGCGCGCTTTGTGGGACCCTCCTCCGGTGGCCGGGGAGCAGCCGGGGATTGAACCGGCGCTGAAGAGGCTGCGGGCAGCTTCACAACCCAGCGCTCAACCGCTGCGCCACCGGGGAGGCCCAACAGGGTAACGTTTTAAATTGAAAACTGCAAAGGGTAATGTTTTTGTTTGGTAAGTGCAAATTTAGTTCCCACATGTAATATATTGTCCCATCTCATGATTATTACAGAGAGTAATTTTGTTGTTCGAAGAAGGGGCTGTCAAAAAAATGTTCCTCTCTCTCGATGTGAGCTACCCTAGAGCATGAGCATTTCCAAATGAATAAATATAGGACCCCGTATCTCCTTCCCTCCAAGTCTGTGGACACCTCCAAGCTCCAGCCACTTCCTCCAGCCATAGATGATCAAATCCCACGTTTGCATCCTCAACCTCCACTGTCCCTGCCCCCCAGTCCTCACCCCTGTCCTCCTCTCTGTAGCAGGAGGGAATTACCCCCATGCTGAAAAACCCCTTCATCGAGTCACTTCTTCCCCACCAGTCACCCATTCTGGTACCTTCTGCTTTCCAGCTCCCCCACTTTGAGATTTGGGGTATCAGTGGAGATTCTTGGGGGCAAAGCCTCCCCCAGCCACCCCTGATGTCCTCTCCATTATTATCTTTGTCAAATTCTACAGCCTAAGCCCATGTCTTTACACCCCACACTTCCAGGGGCTGGAACTTTATAGATGTCCCCAGGTTCTGGCGGTATAAACTGGTGAGTCTCACCCCGCAGGCGCAGCTCCTCAGGTCAGCCCCAGTCCTACCACCCCTGTGGCTCCCAGGTAGGTAAGACCTCCTTCGGGCATTGGTATGTGCTATTCCCTGCCTAGAACGTTCTGCTCTCTCCAAGCCCCCTTTCTTGGCTCTCTGAAAAGACACCTCCATCTGAACACTCCGCCCCTGAACCAGGACCCCTCAGCCTCCCCAGGAATCCACCTGTCGTGGCCTCTCTAACTTTGTTCCAAGGTCAGTGTTGGGTGCCCAGCGCCCGCACAGGGGCCTCTGAGCAGGCTGGAGTGGGTGAAGCGGATTCCGTTCGCCCCATCAAATCACAGTGCCCAGCAAGCGCGGGCTTCGGACGGCGACTCCGGCTCGGGCCACCTGCCAGTGCCTGGAAGCAGCCTAGGGGAGGCACCTCATTGCCAAAAGCAAACAGCCTCCCAGGGAAGTTTTGCTCTGGGTCACACCCACCTCTGGGTGGCTGCCAACCTCCTTGCCAGAAACCACAGGCCCCGCTGAAGCTGCCCAGAGTCAGACCACAGGGCTTAGGAGAACTCGGGTCGGCTCTGCTAAGGGGGTGTCTGGGGAGCACTCCTGGATCCAGAGCCCCTGCGGTCCGCTAGGGGGTCTGGGGCAAGGCTACCACAGCTACAGCAGCGGCTGGGAAGGCCCTCTCGAGCGGGGAGGAGCTAGAGAGGCCCCTGCCAGCCTGTCACAGCTCTTGGTGCTGGCACTGGGTCTGGCTCACACGCGCACACACACTCTCTGCACTGGCAGGCACCCTCTTGGTGGCCACCATCATCTGACTTTCAGGTATGAGGATGGAAAGAGAAGCAGGAATGCAAAGGCGTGTGTGTGCACACACATGTGTGCATGTGTGTGTGTGTGTGTGTGTGTGTGTGTGAGTGTGTGTTTGGTTTGCCTGGGAGTGACCTCATAGCTCTGCCGGAACATAAAGACTTACAGGTCCTGCTTCCCAGACTCAAAGCTGGCTCCTTGAGGGACACGGTGACATGAGGGGGACACCGCAGATCCACCTCCTGGCCTTCTTCTGCCTCCTCTCAGAGGTAAGATGGCCCCAGACCCCAAAAAGACGGTGGACTCCCTTGGCGTGGTGGGGAAGGTGTGACGTCACTGCCGAGGACCCCTGAGCGAATTCTTTTGGGCCCCCCTGCTGGGCAGGTGCAGCTTCCCTCCCAGAAACCCCTGCACAGCCTGGCCAGCCCTGCTGTGTGACCGCAGGCAAGTTCCCCCTCCGCTGTGAGCCTGTGAACCCCCCAGCTTCCGGGGGTTCAGGGGGCCTTTGTGAGGATCATTTATGATAATTCGCCTGAAGTGCGTACTTGTTTAGTGCAGGACCTGGAAAATGTCCAGAAGGACTTGGATGATGACTATCAGCCCAACCCCACCCCCCCACAGCAAAGCAGAAGTGGGGTCTCATTATAACTGGGGAGACACCAGACCTGACCCACTTTGCCTAACTGCGCCAGTTCAGACTTTAACAGCACTAATCCTGCTGGGTGCTCAGGAGCGAGTGGCCTGCTGTCCTGGCCCAAGGGGACAGGGAGCCACCTCCATGAGGTCATGACCTTCTCCTGAGGGCTGCATAACCCTGTGAGGAATTATCAGCCCCCTTTCAGTCAAGCAAGGCCCAGAGAGGGTATGCAACTTGCCAAAGCCACACAGCAAAGAAACTCCAGAGCTATAGAGAAGGTGGAGCCTAGGGTAGACCTGAGTAGGTGTGTGTGTGGGGGGGGCAGGGAATTCCCTCTGTGCCTCCCGCCATCAACCTAGACCAAGACCACAGGCGCTGAGCACTGTCATTCTCAGCAAAACTGAGCTCTGGCCCTGACCTCCCTGTGCTGTCCTGCTCCTCCGCAGTCTCTGCCGGGCGGGTCCGGCACGGCTGAGACCCAGCTGGCATCCCAGTCCTGCTGCTGTTCTCCCAGCGGGGATGGTGGGCAGGACATGATGCCCGGGGGGCTCTGAGCCCAGGATTAAGCAAAAGACCAAAAAAATGCAGCTGTCCCAAACTCACTGTCCCACCCCATTCTCCCCGGGTCCCCGGGAGCCAGGCAGCATCCTGCGCGGAGCCCAGGCTTAGTCATCAGATCATGCAAAGCCACAGCCTCCCCAGCGAGGGAGCCCAGGTCTTCCCGGCAGCTCCAGCCTCCGGGGCGCCGGACCATGGACAGGGCAGGCGCAGAGACCTGGAAACAGGCAGTCACGTCCACAGAGTGGCTGTGACCTCATTTAATCACTGTCACGGCTCCAAGGTAGGTGGTCTCCACCCCATTTTACAGAGGAGAGAGCAGCTTCCTCCCTGTGGAGCAGTGACAGTGAGAGTCACACAGCAAACCAGTGACAGAACAGCAGCTTCCACTTTGCCGGGAAGCTTCCAGGCCCAGCCCTTGGCCCCTGGTGACCACAGCAAGGATCAGGGCAAGTCGAGTGTGCGACGGGGTGGAGAGGGAGGGAGACTCGCGAGGGCCCGTCTCTCCTCAGTGATGCTGAAACACCCTCCCCAGCTTGTCATGATCTCTCTTGAACAAATGGGTAAATTGAGGCAGAGGCTAAGCTGGCATCAGAGCTCCCAGAGGATAAGGAAGCTGGTTGAAAGCCTGGGCCGTGGAGGCCGTGACCCTGGATGCTGGTCCTGGCTCTGAGACCTCTTACTGCCCCCAGGGCCAGCCCGTCCTCTCACCGGCCACGGCCCTACACTGCTTTGAGCTTCGGTTTCCTAATCTTTAAAATGGGCAGAGGCTGGTCCTCGCACAGGGTAACCAGACAGCGCCGGGCACACGGTGCGCCCGCGGTACATGTCAGTCAGTGTCACTGTCAGGGGCGCCTCTGGGCATCTGAACTGCAGCTCCAGTCCCTTCCAGCTTGCCCGGGAGACAGGAGTCCAGGTGGGGGCCCAGGTGTGAAGGGGGCCCATGACCTGGCCCCCTGCTTTCATGCTAGTGCCTGAGCACCCACCGCACGCCAGGCTGGTGCTGGGGGCTTAGCACACACCACTTCTTCATGGACTCCCCAGATGCTCCCAAGTTAGATATCGCTATTGTCCCCCTTTTTACACAGGAGGAAACTGAGGCTCAGAGAGCTTGAAAGCTGAGGCTCAGCTAATGAGGGGCAGAGTTAAGCCTGGAAATCTAGACGGAGTCGCTGCTCGTGGCCGCAATCCATGCCGCCTACTCACGAGTGCTGTGGGGTTGCCGGGGTTCAAGGCCGGAGCATGTGACTCTGGGACCAAAATGTGGACCCACACAGCCCAGCCTGGCAGAGGGGGGCCTGCAGTGAGGAATTCACAATCCCCGTCAAACGCCCACGGCTGAGTGGTCTCTCCCCTTGCAGGTATGTGCCCAGCTGTGTCCAACGCCGTGTGTCTGCCCCTGGCTGCCCCCCCGATGCCCACCGGGGGTGCCCCTGGTGCTGGATGGCTGCAGCTGCTGCCGGGTATGTGCGCGGAGGCTGGGGGAGCCCTGCGACCATCTCCACATCTGCGACCCCAGCCAGGGCCTGGTCTGCCAGCCCGGGGCAGGCCCTGGCGGCCGGGGCGCCGTGTGTCTCTGTAAGCAGGTTTGCGGGACTGATGGAGGGTGTATTGGGGAGGGTCTAAGCTAGGGGGTCTTGAGTCAAAGACAAGTCTCCTCACTCCACCTCCCTGCACATTCCCTCCTGGGACACCTTGCGTTCCAGCCAAAGCTGGCCACCAGGGCTCCCCACAGTGTTAGGCCCCTTCTTGGCCTTTTCCCACTGCCACATCCCGTGCAGCCTTCCCATTCCTACTGTCCAAGTCATAGCCACTTGTAAGTCAAGTGCACACACCTCCCCTGGGGAGCCCCCTAGATTGTTCAAACCAGAAGTCATCACCTCCCTCCCAGGGCCCTCGCAGCATTTCATTTAGGGCATAACGTGTCAGGTGCAACATCCTATGTAAGTCACATCCTTATGACGACCCTAGGAAGGAGGTCCTTTCAGACCCGTTGAATAGATGAGGAAGTCGGGGTTCGGTGATACTAACTGACATGCGTAATGGCACACAGCTAGGGGCCAGGTCAGCCAGGCCCCCAAGTAACATTCCACTCCATCTTCCTCCCTGTCGGGAGCCCTTGGGTCCTCATCCATCTCCGGGAAGGCCGTGTGCTCACGCCCCTGAGGGTGTCAGTGCCTTCTCCACCCCTCCAGGCCCTGGTGCCCTCCAAGGCTTGAGATCAGGGTTTCCAACCTTGGTGCAGGGATGTTTGGACCCCACTCATTGTGTGTGTGGCACATAGCTGGGGGGAGGGCTGTCCTGGGCTGAGTGTCCTACATTCACAGCACCCCTGGCTTCTGCCGACCAGATGCCAGCAGTGGTGACAGTCTCTCTTTGAACATTGCCAAATGTCCCTTGGGGAGCAAAATCATCCCCAACTGAGAACCACTGCTCTAGAGAAAAAGGAAAAGGTGAGGGACTTCAAAAAAAAAAAAAAAAAAAAAGATCAGCCTTGTGAAGCAATTTCTGCCTTTCATGTAAGTGCATGTCACACTTTTCCAAAAATAAAGAGGGGGGGCATGAATCACTGACAGTGAGTCTATCTACAGGGAAAACCTTGCTAAAAAGAAAAACAAAACGTATAGGCAGAAAGTTAGCAACACTGTTAAATGCTTTATTTGATCAGGGGAGTACAATCATGAAAAAGGGCGATTGGTTATAAAAAATATAGATGATGGCTAATTAAAATAGATTAAACAAAGCAGTAAGTGGCATTGAGCTTACAAGGCTGTCATTTGGATTAGCCTGTCACATGTAAGGACCAAGGCAGGTGTGGACATCTGCACAGCAGCCCATGTGCCAGCCATCATCATTGCTAGCGCCGGAGCATAGGACGGTGCCTGGCATGGAGGAGGTTCACAGTACCTAATTGTTGAATGAATGAAAGAACAGTCGTCCTGGGGGGCCTTTGCAGGAGCCGTGCACTGTGAGCAAGCCCTTCTCATATGTGATTTCATGTAACCCTTAGACACGAGGGAGGGCCTATTATGACCCCATCTCACTGGGGAGGGCACTGGGGCTCAGAGAGGTTGAGTCTCCTGCCTAAGGTCACACAGTTTGCAAGTGGCTGAAGAAAAAGTTTTTTTTTTAAACAACCCTACTGTTCCTCTCAGAGGGGCATCTCCAAAGGGAGGAAGGATTTAGAGTTACCAGGTGACAAGTCAGTGCTCTGAAGTGATTTGGGAGAATTTTCTGGAAAGGGGACCTTGGAGAGGGCCTGGAAGGAGTAGGGTTTAGGCAACTACATGTGTGCATGAATGGGGTGTTTAAGACCATGCACTGGGGTGTACATGGATCCCGGGGTGGGGAGCGGCTGTCCAGGCATGTTTACCCCGCTGCCACCCCCACTGGCTCTGAGCTGGAGCACCCAAGAGAGGCACCAGGAAACCTAGCTAAAATTATCACCCCTCGGGCTGGCTCTCCTCAACACGCCCGCTGTTTACCAGGTCATCCAAGTGACCAGGAGGCCCCAGGCAGTCAGGCTGGGAGACAGGGCTTGGCCAGGATGTTTGGGGGTGGGGGGGAACCAAGAGGCAGCTGCCCTGTGGTTTCTAAGAAACCACAGCCACGTGGGCTGTACCAAAAGGTCAGGGATTTGGAGCCTAAGGACTGTGGTCTGACAGGAACGAGAGAAAGAGCTGACTTGGTCACTCCCATTGACTGAGCCTCTGCTGCGAGCCAGGCTTGGGGCAAAACCTTTCAGTTTCATCAGCTCATGGAAACCTCCAGGTGCTCGGGCAGGGGGCTGAGGCTCAGAAAGCTGCAGTAAGTCTCCCTGGGCCCCACAGCTAGCAAGTAGCACTGGGGCAATTTCAAAATCCCAGCATGTGTCTTGTGGGAGCCCTATTTGAGGTTATCCCCAGATGACCTGGGCAAACTTGCTTGCCAATGAGTCCGTGCCCCAGGCCTGGCTGAATTGTTGCTATGTCGCCCTGTCCACCTCAAGCCTCCCCAGCACGCACCTCTCCAGGGCCCTTCCTAGTGTCTTGGAGATGGTGACTTGCACATCTGTCCCCCCAGTGGCCATGGGGTCCCTTGGATGGTGTCTTAGCCCTGTCTGGGAGCACAGTGGCTGGCACACAAGAGGAGCACCAGGGAAATCTCTGCGACTCTAAGGAGTCAGAACTATTTTGCCAGTGTCGACAGCTCACGTGCTGAGCCTCACGCAGGGCATCCATTCAGGGCGCGTTTGCTGAGTTTGTGTGTGTCGTATCCACATTCTGAGCTGCCACCTGTATCCTGAGGGCTTCACTCACAGGGTGTTTCCTGAGCACATGTTCGATGCCACCTATATGCCACCTCATGTCCCAGAAGGCACAGATGACTTGTCATCACTGCTATTGGTAAGGTGGCTCCGAGTAACTTACCCAAAGTAACTTACCCAAAGTCCCCCAGCTGGAATCAGGCCCGACATGACAGTGATGACTACAGTACCGCAGGTGGATAATGAAATTGCCATGTGTATACAATAGGTATCTATTATTGATTTCTAATGACTATACAAGAACGATACCACAGCTAGGGTCTACTGAAGGTTTCCTTTAAGTTGGACCCATGGCATATAGCACTTCATCTAGTCAGTACTATAGCCCTGGGAAATAAATACCATCATAGCCCATTTTGCAGGTGAGGAAACTGAGGCAAGAAATGAAATCACTTGGCCAACTTCCCTAGTTGATAAAGGGGCTCAAATCAGGCCAGTGTCCTGCAAAGGCTGTGCCAGGATGGTGCGATCTGTCTCCCTGGAGGTGCAAGGCAGGCTGGCAGTGGGGAGGGTGCTTGTGGGGAGCTGGAGTGCCAAAGAGGTGCTTATATCCTCTAAGGGCACCGACTCCCCAGTGGGATCTTTGCAGAGAGGACCCATGGAGGGTGTGGCCAAGGGGAAAGCTGGGGGTCACTGAGGGGGGTCTGGTTCCCCTCCACAGGGGGAGAGGATGATGGAAGCTGTGAGCTGAATGGCCGCCTGTACCGGGACGGGGAGACCTTTCAGCCCCACTGCAGGATTCACTGCCGCTGCGAGGATGGGGGGCTCACCTGTGTGCCCCTGTGCAGCGAGGACATCCGGCTGCCCAGCTGGGACTGCCCGTACCCCAGGAGGGTTGAGGTCCCTGGCAAGTGCTGTCCTGAGTGGGTGTGCGATCAGGGACAGGGGCTGGGGCTCCAGTCCCTCCCAGCCCAAGGTGAGTGTTGGGGCTGGCCCAGGCTTGGGGACCAGGGAGGCTAGAGTGGGGGGGATGGGTGGGGGGCTTTGGGGCAAGCCTACCTGGACACATCAAAGCAAAGGTTTTACTGACCCAAGCTGAGGGGCGGTGGCCGAGGGGACAGATAGGGGAGTGGAGAATACCAGCCTCTTCAGAAGTGACCAAACAGGAAGCAGTGGTGCAATCATTTTAGAGTATAAAAAATTAAAAATAAAAACGGGCCACAGAGTGGGGAAGGGAAACAGGGAGGGGGTAGGATATTTAATAGTATATTTGAACCAAATTCTTACATTTCATAGCAAAGTTGTAACAGAAGTATACTATCATAAAATGTACGGATATAGTGATACATATTAATAATATTTTTATATCATTTAAATATTATCTAATCGCATTGAGTTGAGCAAAAAAGGAACTCAAAACTGAACTGGGCAAGGTGGTCGTCTCTGAGCCGGGCTTGGGGATGGGCAGAGGGGAAGGAAAAACAGTTTTCCTGCTATAAACACTTCAGTAGAGATTTGTATTGTAATGTCACTGGGAATAACTATTATTATTATCATTACATGACTCTGATGACACAATAAAGCAATTAAATGGTGCCAAGCACACAGCCCTTCACTGGTGTGGGTGTAAGAAGCCCTAGGACTCATCTGCTTAAAGACACAGGAGAATCCAGTGAGTTCTTAGCAGCGCAGGACCCCGCATAGCAACTTGATTTCATTATGTGGTGCCTGCAGCTGTGCCAGCTGCGTACATGCCTGTGGCAGGCATGGGTAGCACGTGCTTATCACTCAGGGCTTCCCAGCCTGGGCACCACTGACATTTGGGCCCATGATGCCTGCTGGGGTGGGGGTGTCCTGTGCACAGTTGGGTGCGAGCAGCATCCTGCTAGAGTTCAGTAGCCCGACCTCCAGCCGTGATCACCAAAAATGTCTCCAGACATGACCAAATGTTCTCTGGGGGCAATATTGTCCCCCTGGAGACCTGAAGCAAGAGCACCAAGATATGAGAAGAATAAGGCTTGAGGAGGAGAAAAAGCTAGACACAGTGCCCCTGACGGTCGCCCCAGGTGGGCCTGGGAATCACAGCACAAGCCTTCAGCTCCTTCCTGTAAGGTGCTGCTTATCACAGTAAACCAAAGCCCACTGTTTACTTGGGACTAGCACGTTGACACTGTCACAGCGGCCTGATAACCAGCATTCATGGGGAGCTTACAAGAACTAGGCACCTCCATTATTTTATTCAATCCTATCAACTCCGGGGAATTTGCCCAGGAGGAAACTGAGGCCCAGAGAGGTTAAGCCACATGACCAGGATCACACAGCTGGCAGGCAGGCTGATTTGGCTGCCAAGCTCTGACCTTGTCGTGCTGACCCTTTTGTCTCCCTCTCCTCCACCAGGACCCCAGTTTTCTGGCCTCATCGCTCCCCCAGCCCCTGGTATCCCCTGTCCAGAATGGAGCACGGCCTGGGGCCCTTGCTCCACTACCTGTGGGCTGGGTGTGTCTATGCGGGTGTCCAACCAGAACCGCCTCTGCCGCCTGGAGAGCCAGCGCCGTCTGTGCCTGGCTGGGCCCTGTCCCCCCACCAGGGGCCACGGCCTCCGGAATGGTGCTTTTTAGAGCCTGGCTGGCTGAAGACTGGTGCCCACCCACTCCAGCAGGCAACCTTGTCTGCAGGCCACGATCCAGTTGGATCCACCATCACATCTCGGAGGACTAGAATGTCCACCGGCCATGGGTCCACCAGCATCCTGGACACAGTGGAGATGCGTGCCCGCATGTCCTTCCTCCAACTCAACCTAGGGGCTGGCCAAGGTTTCCCGGGTCTTCTGTCTGTTCCCAGCCTACACACAGACTTTATCATGAACACAGGCGCGCTTTCTAGGAAGTAGGGCTACCATCTCCCCCTGAATCATTAGGCTGAGGCAGGTGCTGGCTGCATTGGCAATTTTTCTGGGGTGTGGTGAAGAGGGGTCCACAGATACTTGGAATTTCCCACTTCCTTTCCTGGAGAGATGTAAAAACGTGCCTGAATACACGTTTGTGCCTGAAGACAATATGTCCGCACACACAAGGTGTGTGCCCGGCTGGTGCCGAGAAAGCCCTCCCCATCCGGGGCAGATTGCAAGAGCTGAATTAGTAAGAATGACCCTCTGGACCCACCTGCCAGCCACTGACTCAGCACCCCAGTGGGCCCAGGCCCCACAGCATTTTTGGCTAGAGAAAAAGAGAGAACAAGAAGGACACCATCTGAGGCCCGGGGGCTCGGCCTGAAATAAACCAGATCCCATCTGGAATTCTGTTTGATGTCTCATGTTTTATTGTTTAAAAAAAAAAAAAACCTTATATATAAATTTTATACCCTCCTCTGGGGCCTACCTGTATTTTTTTAAAATAAAAATTGTTTTCATCAAGATCCAGCCAGGAAATGAGTAAAGGCCTTTGGTATTTAGACAGGGGGTTCTTATTAAACTAATTTTATGTTTTAACGAGTTTTGATAAATGTGTGCGCTGTGCAAGCACCACCTCTGTCAAGATAAATCACTCCCATCATCTCAGAAAGGTCCCCCTGACACTTTGGGTCTCCTCTGCCCCCCAGAGGCAACCAGTCTCCTGACATCCAGTGCTGCAGCTGGGTGTTGCCTGTCCTCGCACCTCACAAAAGTAGAAACACTCAGTGGGTTCTCTTCCCTGATGCTTTCTTGCTCAACACCAGCCATCAGGTGTGGCTGGGGCGAGGGGTTGCAGGGGGCAGCACCAGGAGCTTGGGAACAGGAGGCAGAAGGGTGGAATTGGAAACACAGCCACACACTGGAGTCCCCCGGAGGCAGCCTGGCTGATGGAGGAAGGACAGCCCCAGCTCTGCCCTCTCCTGCACCCCTCCTGTTCGTTCAAACCTGGAGGGGAAAGACCAGGGAGCATGGGAATGGGTACACACACCTGGGACACAAAGCAGAGCAGAAGGTGGGGGGCCTGGAGCAAGGACGTGTCAGCCTGCCCCTCAGAATGGAGTCCCCAACACTTAACTCCGGCACCATGCCTTCCTGGAACCCCAGTGTAAGGACAGGAATGGGCACAGTGCAGGTTCTCTGATCCCATGCAGACCGGGTAAAGGAGGAGTCAGAGTCCTCAGTGGTTTTGCAGGTCTATTTATTGCGGTTCACCAGGCATATGGCAGGCAGGGGTGCTGGGGGGCCGGGAGGCTGGCAGGCCTCCCAGCCCCCAGCAATTCTTCACTCTATCTGGGCTCTCTGGTGATCTTGGCTTCTCTTCGGCTTCGGCTTCTACTGCTGCTGCTGGCGTCCCCATGACGCCGCCCTTAAAAGCACAGTCTTAGCTCAGCTGAATCCCATCTACCTATGCCCACACCCTACTCCAGGTGCCCGCCATCAGGCATGCATTCAGGACAAGGATCCATCATCTATCCTGATGGCGGAAGGGCAGAAAAGCCTGATATTTTCTTTACCCTACACCCAGTTTGAGAATCACAGGCAGCATTTGAGCCACTTAACTTTCATGAAGTTTCGCTAACTCTGGTCCACTCTGGCACCAGCGTGGCAATAGCAATGGGTCCAAATCCGGGGCTGGGATTTCAGGGCAGGATGAGATGAGCTGAGCTGACCCTCCAGGGTGGCTGCGGTCACCAGCTCTCACAGGCCGAGCTTATCGGGGTGACGGTTCTGCCAGCAAACTCTGAGCACAAGGCCAGGGGAAAGTCTGAAAACACCCCAGGAAACGGTGAGTGCAGGGATGAGAACAAAGAACTGGCGTGGACTGCTCCGACGTGTGTTCTCTCTGCCAAGAGCTTTACGATGCCCTCAGACATCCCTCAGGTCCGTGCTCCGTGTTAGGCACCCCGGGGAGCGCGAGAGCTGCACACGGGCTCTGGGCCGGGCTCTGGGCTGGGCCGGCTGCCATGAGCTGCTGTGAGCAAGCCGAGAGGTATGGGCCGCGCTGACCTGCCCGGTCCTGAGCTCAGGTGGGGCACTCAACTTCTTTGTGCCTCAGTTTCCTTTCCCTTAAAATGGGGATAATAACAGTATTCAACACAGATAGTTGTTGAGAATATTATGTCAATTAGATAAAAATTTTAGCTCCCATTATCTTGATTAGACCTCTTGGTACTTTCATTTTTTCACCTGTAAAGTGGGCGTAAACAGCAGGGCCCCGCCTATAGGCTCAGTGGTGGCTGCCACACTGGCAGAGTGTGAAAATTAGACTAGTTACTCTATGGTCAGCTTAGATACCAGCTATTATCTTCATCTTGCCTCTGCCATTCTACCATTCTTGGCAAGTTGGAGACTGATGAAGGACAAGACAAGGACTAGCACCCCTTTCTTTATGAAGATAAGGAGGTGGTGTTGGGAACAAAGATCTCTGGATGAAAATCAGGCTCCCCCTAACTATGCTTGCAGATCAGCGTACCCAGCCTGGCTACCCCCCCATTGTGTTTGTTAGTTGGCATCAAGTGGCTGCAAGTAACAATAGCACCTCCTTTTCTGTTGCTGCATAATATTCCAGTGAGCGACTATGCCCCATCGTATGGATGCATCCTATTCTTGACAGGGCCTTTGGGTGGTCTCCAATTCGGGACTACTGTGGGTATTTCAGTACATATCTTCTGGATTTGGATTAACATTTGGATATCTCTCCAAATGTGGAATCACTGGGTCGTGGCCTGTGCTTTCTCCTGGGTGGGATTATCTCCCAGGGTAACAGGTCTCTATACACAACAGGTGAGCAATAAAGGCTGATTGCATAAATAACAAAACATGAGCGCTGACAATTATTAGTAACCACAGACCAGGATCTATTCCAAGCATCTTCCTGGTTATAACTCACTTTGATCTCACAAATATGCTCGGAAATATAATTATGTCCATTTTGCAGATGAAGAAAGAGAGGTACAGAGAATTTAAGGAAACTGCTCAAGTTCACACAGTTCAAAGTCTACAGAACCAGGATGCACATCAGAGTCCTGTTCCCAAGTGTACAACCTTGGTTGGCCATAGACTGCAAGGAATTTGGTCCCTGCAGCACTCAGGGGTCAGGCATTCTCTCAGGGAGGGCAAGAGGAACACAATTGTGAGATCTTGCTTGAAGGGTAAATATGAAGAGCAGGATTTTGAAATAGGACACCAGGCACATCCTGGGCTTTCTGTTGGAGGATGGGAGGAAGGTGGGGTCTTTGACAGAAACCAGAGGGCAGGTGAGCCCCTAGAAGTGGCAGAGAGGGTGATTTGAGTTCAAGGAGTTAGTGGTTACCCAGGGTGGTGTGGCTAGACCCAGCTGGACAGGGTCTGGACAGTCAAGATTTCAGTTCAAGGCAGAAGAGAGGAGTAGGCAATCAGTGTGTATGTTGGTGCCTATGACCTCTTAGAAGGCCTCTGCGTCTCTCCTGCTCCCCTGTGGCTCCACCATCTCTGCCCAGATGACTAGCCAGCTCTCGTGGCTTCTACCCTTGCTCCTTACAGAGTGGGCCAGAGGGGGCCTGTTAAAACTAAGCCGGGTCAATAGTTCTCAAAGTGGGATCACAGAAGGATCAGTATCACCTGGGAACAAGTTCCAACTACAATTCTTGTGCCCAGGCCCAGACTCACAGACTCAGGACAGGGTCGGGAAAGGCCTCCATCTCATTAAAATCTGTGGGGGATGAAGAAGTTGTTCAGGAGAAAACCATGGTGTGCTGCTGCCCTCTTGTGGCCTCTTGGTGCGTGACCCCACACGTACCCACGTGTTCCACAAATGTTTCAAGTTCTCCTGGGAAGATGGATTCCTTACCCGTGGCCCGTGTCCAAAGACCAGCATAACAGGGCCACATGAGTGGATACTTCGGGGGTCCCACACTGGTCTCCTGACTGTTGGGGCAGGTTTGGGATCCCTTGACCTATCATAGACTGTCCTCAGTAGTATACCTCACAGTCTTTCTGCCACTGTCCTGTCTCCTGCAAAGCGAAAAAGTTCATCCCAAAGGGTGGGATACTGATCAGATGGCTCATGGGAAGCTCACCCATTCTTGCAAAGCCAGATGATGTGTCTGTCTCCCTAATCACTTTCTCCCTGCTCAAAGAGGTAGATCTGCAAGCCGACCTGGTAAGAAAGAAATACCATGTACCACCTCTAGGGCAAACCCCAAATCTCGCTAGTGGGACCTGTCAGGACAAGGGGAGTACCCCTTTCTCTTTGCCTCCAAGAGCGCACAGAAAAAAATGTGTATCATGGCTCCCCATTTCAGAAATTAATTTTCAAATTCTAGTCTTCTGCTTACATAAACTAGGGGGTGGGGGGTGAGGAAGAAAGGTTGGGATGACATTTCTAAGAGTGTCTTGTGGCTTCCTGGTGGGGATAATTCTAGCACCTGTGCCCTCATTTGGGGCTTTTAATTTAAAATCCGAGACAACAGGAAAAGTCCAGTTTAGGAATCTATTACACACGTTATCTACTTTAATCTCACAACAGCCCTATAAGGTAAGTTTATTAATTAGGGTAATGGCAGCTACTATAATAAGCAAACCCCAAATTTCCATGGCGCAACAAAATAGAAATTTATTTTTTACTCACATGGTATTCCAAAGCAGGTGTTCCTGGTTGGAGGCAGCTTTCCTTCACGTGGAGAGCCAGGTGGCTTACGTGATGCAGCCCCACCACGCCCC